GGCAGGCCCTGGGATCTGAACCAGGGTCCAGCTATGCTACTGCCATGCCACCATCTTCCCCTCTATGTACTTTTTTATTTTTTTTAAGAATTATTTATTTTAATCTTATTTAATCATTTATTTTCATTGAATCAGAGAGAGACAGACAGAGGGAGAGACAGGAAAAGTGAGAAAGCAAGTCACCAGGTCTGGGACTCAAACCATGGTCAGCCCTGTGGGAGTGTCCAGCACCTTAACCACCATGCCATCTGCTGGCCGCCCCCTCTATGTTCTTTATGAGAGTTCAAATCCTCCCAACAACAGCATTGCAAAGCCAAAGCTGTCATTTATCTCTCCTAGACCTGCTCCTTATCTGTTCTGTCCATGCAGTTGCCCAGTCCTAAAACCCAGTGCTGCCTTACTCTTCCAGGCTCTTGCCCCCCATATCAAACACCAAGCTCCCTAGAAACTGTCTTCTCAATCACACTGTCCACCCTTTTCCTCCCCCTGGCCAAGGCTGCCTTCTTCTTTCACTGTTCTCTGCAGTGGCCTTCTAACTAGTCTGCTTGCTCCCTGACTTACACACAGTCCCCAGTTTGTTCTCCACAATGTTCTTTCTAAGAAAGAATGCAGAACTCTTCCGTGGATCCCCAGTGCCTTCGGGATCAAGTCTAAACTATTTAATATGCCTTATCATTAGGCTAACCACACCATCTAGCATCCAAACTGGGACACTCTTGAGAATAGAGGGGGCACATTTACGGAGCACGGCAACCCTCGTGTGACCTGCCCGGACATATCAGGGTGTCTGCTCAGCTTGCTCACCAGGCCCTTTCTTACCAGATCCTGCTGCCTCTCCACTGTGCACATTTCTTTTTCTTTTTCATTTATTTCTTCCATGAATGAGAAAAACAGAGACAGTGCAACTGTGCCCCCCACCCTCCGCACACACACACACCAAAAGGATCTTGATGACACAATCCATTCTCAGCTTCACCCAGTCCCGGATCAAGAATATCCACATGCCTTGCATGCTCAGGGAGGTCTCCAGACACGAGCTTGGAACTTCTCCACATGGATCAGCCTCGCTGCATCACTGTCTGGCCCCTCCACTATGTACTTGAAGCTCCAGCCCGGGACCAGTCAGCATGCTGCTTTACTGCCCCTGTCCATGCCAAATGTTCACTGCCCCGTCCACCTCTGCCCAGTTCCTGTCCTGTGCTCCCTCCCTGTGCAGAATCATCAGCTGTGCCCATGTCTCCATGAGCTCACAGAGCTGTAAACAAGGCAGGTTCAAGCTCAACTCGGAGCTCTTCCATGCAGCCTCCTCCTCCCACCTAGCCCTTTTTAGAGGTTTTGCTATAGGGCACGTGTGCTCACCAGAAAGAGAGAGAAAGCCAGAAATCAACCCCCCCCAGGGTGATGGCCATGCCGCAATCCCTTCTCCTCCATTCTCCTCTTGAGATCTTGGGCACGCACACACACACCCATGTGAGTTTAAGCCACTGGGTCTGAGACTCGAACCACAGTTGACTACATGGGAGTCCAGTAATATAGCCATTACGCCAATTGCTGGTCCCCATAGCTGTTTTCATAAACATTCATTCCTTCAGCATTTATTTGCATATCTATGAGGTGGCCATTATGTCCAGGGCAAAGCCCTGCTCTGGTGGAACTTGCACTTAGTGGAGAAGATGAACGATGTGTATGTAATAAATACCATAATAAACCAAGTAGCTATACCTACCCCAGAAGAAAGTGATGCACCATAAAGGGAAGATAGATTGGTTAGGGATAGAATGGTACGAAGGACTCGCCCATCCTCCAAGATGACATTTGAGCAGACTTGAGCCACCCGAGTAACTGGAGGAAGAGCCTTTCAGGCCTCGGGAAGAGCAAGCGCAAAGGCCCAGAGATGAGACATGCTTTTCTGGTTAGGAGCAGCAGGAAGCTAGGGCAGGGAGGTCAGCCAGAGCCAGGTCATGTGTGGCCTAACCTGCAAGGCCAGGACTTTGTGTTTTCTACTGAGTACAAAGGAGCACCACTGTGGACTGGGGCACGTGACCTGCATATTGAAGGGGGACGGACAGTGGGACCAGGGGAGCAGCAGGGGCTGGTTGGAAGGCTGTTGAAGGAATCAGGGGGAAGGGATAGAAGCAGGGCTGGGAAATGTGAGAAGCTGAGGGCAGCAGGGTTTATTTTTCCAGGTGGACCTGAGAGGATTCGCTGGTAGATCCAGTGTATGCTGTGAGAGAGACCATTCAAGAGCAGCCATTGCTGGGGCATTGCTGGGGTTTGGCTCAAGGGGATGAATGAATGAATGAACAAGTTGTCTACGTAAAAACCCTTCAGACTAGAAGCTACTGACTATATGACGTCCCCTAGCAGTTCTCTAAGGACCATGAGCAGCAAGGAAGCCAAGAGCTGGCCCCATGAGAACACAGAGAGATTAATGATGCTGGCCTGCAGAAGGTTGGGCGTAGGGCATGGCCTAGTGGCTGAGGGAGCCAGGTCCCACATGACAGCAGGGTTCGGATTCTGGCCTCAGTGGCTTAAAAAAAAAAAACTGAGAATATGTGCGTTTGGTGACAAAATCCCAATAGAGTGGAGAAATGAAGGAGAAGGGATTGTAGCATGACCACGCCTCATCGAGGGGTGCTTTCTCTCTCTTTCTCTCTGTCCCTCTCTGGTGAGCACATGCATCCTCTGGCAAGTTTTTTAAAAAGGAGACTCAGGGCCAGCAGGTGGCATGGAAATTAAAGTGGATGGATCCCACACGGCCAGCTGAGTAGTTTGAGTTCTGGTTCTGGCAGCTTGAAACTCACACCAGGTGCATGTGTGTGTGTGACCAAAATTCCAAGAGGAGAATGGAGGAGAAGGGCTTGCAGTGTGGCCATCCTCTTTCTCTCCTCTGTCTTTCCCCAGCAAGCACACATGCCCTAAAGCATAAAAAAAACAAAAACGAAAACAAAGAAGACTGTGGGACCAGGAGATGTAGGAAAGGAACAGGGCCAGGCAGCGTGTCCCAGCACCTTATCCCCAAGCCCCATCCAAAGATCCTCTAAAAATCGTAACTGGCATGAGCTGAGAACTTCAACTCGGCTTGTAACTTTCCAATATATTTTGATTTACTTACATGCATCGAGAGAGCTCTTCCAATTTCAGTGATAGAAAGAAACATGAAGAAGATGTTAATTCATTTATCTGTTTACTCGTTTTTCTTATAAATATGATCTCATTAAGACATCAGCTCTAAACAGAATGAGGGCAACAAAAAATACAAACAAACAAATCAAAAAAAGACATCAGCTCTAAAGGATATGAAAAATAATTTTCTAATTTTTTTGTTGTTCTAAATTTTTTGTTTAATGTATTCATAATTTACTTACATACATATTGACTATATCTTTAATCTTTTTTATCTAATTTTTTTTTAATTTGGAGATAATTCCAGTGCTGAGGCAAAGCTAACTTCAGTGTTACAGAGTAGGTCATTTGAGGTTTCATGTCACACGATATTTGGGAATGTCCGATTTGACCTAGGATACAGTAATCTTTCTGCTATGTGTCTTTGAGCTCTGCCCCTAGAACTGAGCACCCAGGATAAATGAGCTAGGAGATTTTTAATCTGATGGATGGACATACCGTAGAGGGTCATAAACTGTCATCCTGATCTTGGTTGTTTTCTAAATTGTGCTAACCCTTCTATATAAGAAATGTGTGTGTGTGGGGGGGGCTGTGCCAATAAATAGAAGAAAATAAATCATTCATGAATGTGAAATGCTGAACTAAAGCCCATTTCGCGAGTAAGTGACTGTGCTGCCCGTGAGCATAGCCCGCTCACCCTGCTCTGAGCAGGACCCTCTGTCTGCCCGTGGATCGATAAAGAGATGACTTTGTAAGCAGGTTTGCAAAATCCTGCATGTTTCCTACTTATAGTAAAATTGCGTTGAGAATTCCTTTGAGGAAATTCTCTTTGGCATTCAAGGGGATATTAATTCTTGCACTTAACAAATATCTATTGTATCCTGTTCTGTGCCAGGCACTGCCCTAGCTCCTGAGGCTATAGCAGCAAACAAGAGAGACTTTTTCCTGCCTGCATTCCTACAGAGGCAAGAACTGAGCCAGCTAGTTACAAAGTGATGGAATTGCTGCCATGCCCCACCCCCAGGGCCTTCCTAATTAGACATTAATTCACAAGAACACCCTAGGCCATCCTGGGCCTTGGGTGCTAAGAGGGGACTCAACTGAGGTCCTCACAGTAGTCCCCTCAGCCACCAGGAACTTGTCTCCACCAACAGCCCCTGCTAGTGACTATTCAAGTGCAAAGGAATGAGATACATGTTGTGGGTGAAGGGTTCCCCTTGATGTAGAAGCCCAGTCCCCCACAGGAGCTAGTCTCCCTGTCACAGCCTAATGCAAGTCCTAGAGTTCCCACAAGGATGCTTGCGGTTACAAAAATTGCTGCTCTGCAGAAGCTGAAAACTATGGCAAACACATTAGGAGTTTATAGCTCTTCTCAGTCCCGATGCGATTTATTATACTACCTGGAGGTTATTTTTAGACATAAGAGACGTTGCTGGCATTCCACCTTTATCAAGGTTTCCAGGAAACAGAGCTAGGAATTAACTGAAGATATGTCCTTAGAGAAGGACAAAGAGTCGTTTGTCCTTTTTTTCGTTTTTCCCTAACTTTATTTATTTACTTCTTTATGAGCTGGAAAGAGAGAGAGCACGTGCATTCCCAGCCGGGTCTGGATGCCACGATCCATTCCCAGCCTTAGCCAGCCCGGCTCACAGGCACCTGCACGCCCAGTGATGTGAACTCGAGCTTACTCTTGGGGGTCAGCCTTGCAGAGCGTTGCATTTTCGTGCTGCATCACTGGGTGGCCCTGTGCTCACCCTTTACTTGGAAGCGCCATAGTGGGGAAGTACAAGGCATGCAGAGCGCTTGTGACTGAGGCGCTGACGCCATTGTGTGCAGCCGTTTGTTACAGTGACGCTCTCCTCTTCATTTTGCAGGTCAGCCATCATGGCACAGCTGGGCTGCTGGCTGATGGTTCTCTTCGTGGCCACATGGAGTGACGTGGGCCTCTGCAAGAAGCGGCCAAAGCCTGGAGGAGGATGGAACACTGGGGGGAGTCGATACCCAGGGCAGGGCAGCCCCGGAGGCAACCGCTACCCACCCCAGGGCGGTGGCACCTGGGGGCAGCCTCATGGTGGTGGCTGGGGACAGCCTCATGGTGGCGGCTGGGGGCAGCAGCCTCATGGTGGTGGCTGGGGACAACCCCATGGTGGCAGCTGGGGACAGCCCCACGGTGGTGGTAGCTGGGGTCAAGGAGGCACCCACAATCAGTGGAACAAGCCCAGTAAGCCGAAAACCAACATGAAGCACGTGGCAGGCGCGGCCGCAGCTGGGGCTGTGGTCGGGGGCCTCGGTGGCTACATGCTGGGCAGTGTCATGAGCAGGCCCATGATTCACTTCGGCAGTGACTATGAGGACCGCTACTACCGCGAAAATATGAACCGCTACCCCAATCAGGTGTACTATAAGCCCGTGGATCAGTACAGCAACCAGAACAACTTCGTGCACGACTGCGTCAACATCACCATCAAGCAGCACACGGTCACCACCACCACCAAAGGGGAGAACTTCACCGAGACCGACATCAAGATAATGGAGCGCGTGGTGGAGCAGATGTGCATCACGCAGTACCAGCAGGAAGCCCGGGCTTCCTACTACAACTCCAGCGTGGTCCTCTTCTCCTCTCCGCCCGTGATCCTCCTCCTCTCCTTCCTCATCTTCCTGATAGTGGGATGAGGGAGGTCTTCCTGTCACCACCATCTTCTTAAATCCTTTTTTCAGGTTGGGGGAGGGGTATCCACCTTGCAGCCCTTTTCAGCGGTCTCTCGTTCTTGCTTCTTCTTTGTCCCCCATAGGCTAATACCCTCGGCACAGATGGGCACTGGGAACTATAGGGTAGACTTGGGATGCTATTTATTCGAGCCCCTATGGATGGAGTTCTTCACAGGCCAATGCTAAAGCCAGGTCAGAAAGAGCATAATGGCCAATAACCACTGCTCTGTCTAGGTTTATTCTGGGTCTAGAGCGATAGGTTGAGCCTAAAGCCAATCTCAAAACAGTCCTTGAACACCTTTGCCTGAATCCCTCTGGCTCCTTCAGCAACTAGGGTTCAGTGCACTCATGTCCACCTTAGCAGTGATTTCTTAGCAATTTGGAGACATTTTCTCATTCGCTTTAAGAAAACCTACTGGCCTTTCTGCCAATTGGAAAGAGGCCGCATGATACTCACTAAACATTAAATAATAAAAATCTTTCGCTCTCGGGCCGCAGGCTCAGCCCGTCGGAGCGTGCGCTCTGTGTCTGTGGGGAATTGTGATATTTTGCATTTCGCAGGGCCAGCTGCAGTTACTATTGCATCGACAGCAAATGTTGGTGCAACACCAAGTTCTGCCGGAGGACCTTTTCACAGGGCATGACTATAACTGTAGCACGTGCAACACACGGATGCAAGGTTTCCAAGACTGAAAACGCCAGCCTTTGGGAAGCCAGCACTTAGAAGCTGTTGAAAGTACCTACATGTGGCATTCATTCCTTTCTTGGTAACATAAACGATAGATCGTTAAGACAGGAAAAGATTAAATTACCTTCTGGTAAACCTGCTCTGTTCATTTACCTGGAAGCCAGAATAATCTTATCACAGTTTGGGTTAAAACCAGGAGATTTTAACACAGGAAAGCCGCTGTGGTGAAAACACAATCTGCAGAGGATTGTGTGATGAAGAGAATGCTTAATGTACAAAGCAAAGAAATGCTCGCCTCTCCTCATTTCTGTCTCACGATTGTCAGAAACTAGAATTAGGTCGAGTCCTTAGTTTCTATGATTGGCTTTTGAATCAAAGAACAGGGTGACAATCTAAAAAATAATCTTCTCTTGAAGATGACAGAAATATTCATTCAGAGTGCAAAGAGAAATTTTGTTAATGTTATTTAAGTGCAGTGAAATTATTCCCTGAAGTGTTCAATATTGTCATCTAGTAGATAGATGCTACTATTCTGCAATGTTACTGGCTTGCACTGTGTGGGTACTCTATGTTAAAACACACACACACACGTACACATATATATATATATATAAAAGATGTATTGCATATGACAGACTTAGAGGTTTCGTTTAGAACAGTTAACATCTGAGCTATCTAATGCATTAACTGTTTTGTAAGGTACTAAACACTTGCTATGCGGGAAACCCCGTTGCGTGGTCCTTAGGCTTCCAACGTGCACTAAATAGTTTTGTATAAGAATCCAAAGTGGACACCATCAACTGGTCTTTGAAATACGCATGTACTTTATATTTTCTATATTTGTAACTTTGCATGTACTTGTTTTGTTGTATAAAAAAATTTATAAATGTTTACTATCCGACTGAAATTAAATAGGAACTAAGCTGAGCACTGCCTGTGCAGTTTCCCGTCATATTCGCGGGTGCTCGCTCGGTGTTGGCAGGATCGCCTGGGGAGGGAGTGAGCCAGGTGGTACATTCAGTCCCCATGCCACGTCCCTGCTCCCGATTCTGCCTTCACCCTTACTTCCCCGTCACTGGCCAGTGTCTGCTGCTTCTCCCTCCTCCCCATAGGTATCTCTGTGTGCTTAGTCTTGGGTACATGGCAAGGATAACTGCAGCAGGAGGGGCCAGTCCTTACACTCTGGAAATTTTTTTTTAATTATTTATTTAATTAATTATTATCTTTTTAAATTTGCTATAAGGCATGTACACTCACCAGAGAGAGAGAAAGCAAGCTGCCAGGTCCAGGACTCAAACTGCAGTCGGCCATCTGAAAGCCCAACACCTTAACCACCACACCAACTGCTGACCCCACTCTGGGAGCTTTTTTCTTTCCTGGACTTAGAAATAGAAGTTTGCCAGGGCCAGCTGCAGTGGCACAGCAGTGACAGAATGGTCCGTGATGCTGAGGCCACACGGGAAGGTCCTGGGTTCATGTGGTGAGGTGTCTTTGTATGTGACGGGCGTGACATGTGTGTCTGTGACATGGCTGAGGCACAGCATGATGGCGTGAAGATTCAGTTAGAAGGTCTCTCTCAGAAGAAATTAATAAATAAACTTTAAAAAAGAAAGAGAGAGAAAGAGATTTTTCTTTCTTTCTTCCTTTCTCTTTTCTTGCTCTTAATTTCCAGAGGGCACTTGCCAGAGAGAAGGAAAGGAAGAAAGCATCCCCCGATGGGACGTGGTCGTGCTGTAATGCCTTCTCCGTCTCTCCATCCTGTTGGGATTTGGGGCACACAACGCATTTGAGCCTCGCATGTTTTTCAAGCTGCTGGGCCAGGATTTAAACTATGGTTGGCTATGTCAGACCCAGCTCCCTTCATCACTATGCTGACCCCGAAAAGATTTTCTTGATTAAAATAAAATGTAAGCTCTAAAGTGTCTATTTTATGTCCTCATGACTCAAGCTCTAAAATATTCTCAGGTGCTGAGAACCCCAGTGATGATCACTCTCAGGGTGGAATTCAGCTCTTGGGTGAGAATTCCCGGGCCGCTGCCAACTCCCCCTGGGTGTGAGGACCAGCACTGTGATGTTCCTGCTCAACCTCGGCAGAAGTTTTTTCTGCAACTGTAGTTTGCTAACAGCAGGAAGTGATCACAAGGGGTCCCTGTGGGGCCAGCTCATCAGTGCAGTGGTAACATGCTGCTGAAGTGATGTTGGAGCCGTAGAGAAGATCCAGGGTTTGGTCCCCTGGTTGACCTGTTAAGGCCAGGTATGCTTGCCCATGGTCCTGGCTGGCTGGGAAGGTTAGGGGTTATTGGGGCATGAGACCTTATCGAGGGGGCTTCTCTCTCCCTTTCTCTCTCTCCCTCACTTCCATAAAGGAAGCTTTTTTTTAAAAAAAAAAATGTATCAGTGGTTGAAATTATAATTATAATACCTTAACAAATGTCTGTGTAGTAATGGGGGAACAAGTCCCTTTAACAATTTCCCTAACATCTAGCAGAAATGACTGAGAGGCATGTGAAATTGCACGCTGGATATGCTCACAGGTCCTAGATGGAGGGATGGCACATCACACTGAGGGCACACAGGGGGAGCTGCCAGAGAGCTCTGGCAGATGGAGCAGGGGCAGAGGGCCCGGACCACTGCATTGACTTGGGGAGGGGGCGGGTTCCAGGCAGAGAGCACAAGCAAGAGGCCTGCGGGCTTGTCTTTCATAATATCTTTTTCTTTTTAAGTGATTTATTTATTATTATTATTTTAATCTGCCAAAGGATATATCCCCCTGCAATCCCTTCCCCTCCAACTCTCCCTCTCAGGATTTTGGGCACACATGCGCATACTCTCGATGTGTTTCCCAAGCCACTGGGTGTGGGAACTGTGTAGTCTGCTGTGTGGAATTCAGACCACAGGCCAGGCCGGCCCTACTCATTCATTCGTTCATTCATTCTTTCATGAGTAAGAGAAACAGAGAAGAGGGGAGACATTTAGGCAGCACCCCCAACAGGATCTGGTTTTTTTTTTTCCAAGTCAATCTATACAGCTTCATTAAAGATACTTTTCATAAACAGTCATGGTATTTCAGGCAGGACAAGGGCAGACAATTGTTAACTGTATACAACAACTTTCACACTCCCTTCTTCGATGGACTACCAAAATCAGAAAGCCACTATAAAACCCAGTGAAGTCTTCACCTGATGCTCTGAACAGGGAAAGCTTAGAGTGAGGGTTGACGTTTCACATTTGGCATGCTGTTTAACAACTTTTCACGAGCAGACCCTGACTTTCGGGAAATGAAAATGGCAGAATTATCGACCTGAAGATCCAACAATATAGAGAAGGAACTGCTGTTCTTTTGAAGGATGCTATCTTAATGTCATTGGCAAGTCCGGAGTGCCTGACATACTGGTATAACCGATTTTCTGTGGTCAGGTCCCCACAGGTCTCTGGTGTAAGGGAGCTAAGTCTGTGCTGAAGGCAGAGAGGGAGAGGACGTAAAGGCAAATGTTACATTTTCCACACCCCAAGGCATCTGTGCCAAGGGGGCTGTGTGTGTCAGGGAATCGCTCCTCATAGGAGCCAAGAGGAAGTCTCTCAACACTAGAAGGGAAAGATGTTGTCCAGATCAATCCAGCTTCAGAGACATTCTATTAGTGACAAATGCCCCTTCTCCAAAAAACAACAATGAAGTGTCCTGTGTGCTAACAACATAGCTTTAAAAAAAAAAAAAAGGTAAAATGAAATTCTGCATTTTTATAAAGCTTGATAAAAATATTATTTTGAAGTGTGCAGTCACCAGAAGGACAGTTACCAACAACGCACACACGTTGCTTGGCATCGCCAGCACCATCAGCTTTCTGTGCCTGGTCTGTGTTGGCGTCTCTGTTTTCTGCAGGGATATTCCCATCCTTGCCAGCATCAGCCTTTCCCTTTTTCCCTTTGGGTACCTTCTCTCCCTTCTTTGCAGGGGCCTTTTTAGGCTTGGGCTCTGGCTTTGGAGGAGCAGGTTTCACAGACAACCTGGCAGATCTTCTCTGTGGTCCGTCCTTCGCCTTGGCGTTACCTCCTTCAGCATCCCCTTCAGCCTTTCTCTTGGGCATGGTGACGGCGATGGCGGGACGTAGGCGCTGGATGCGGGGGATGCAGAGGAGTGCAGGCTTTGGTCAGTCTGTGGGTCGCTCTCACCTCCTCTCCTTCACACTCTTCCCCCACCCAACAGGATCTTGACACCACAATTCACACTCCCAGGCTTCCGTCTGTTCTGGATCATGGGCACACGTGTGCCTGAGGTACTCAAGGAGGTCTCTGGACCTGGACTGGGGACATTCCCATGTCAAGTTGCAGTGCATGGCATTTTACCTCTGTGCCACCAACTGGCCCTTAGAGGGATTTTATTGGTGTTGTGACTGCCACTACATTGTTATCAAAGGAGAGCAAGAAGGGAAGCTGGTGGCAGGAGCCAGCCTCATCACACTGGTACATCTGGTCACCTGGGATGGAGGGGTGCCCCCACTTTGTGGGATGTTGAGGTAGCAGAAAAAGATGAAACTTTTAAAGATTCACGATACAACACCAACGTCCTGCAGTGATCACAGGGTCAATTTTGTACTAACGCTGGAAAGACGGAAATCAACTCCTTGGACTCCCCCTTCACAAAACTACTTGAACAAAATGACAGACACAAATTCTCAAAAGCATTACACATTTATAAAAGGGACTTCCTGCCAGCCATGGTGACGTGGTGGATAAGGTGGCTGGATCCCACATGGCCAACTGTGCAGTTCAAGTCCTGGATTTAGTGACTATAGAAAAAAATCTCTCAAAAAAAAAAAAAAAAAAAAAAAACACTGATTGCACATGCATACCCAAAATCCTGAGGAGAATGGAAAAGAAGTTGCAGTGTGGCCATCCCTCCAAGGGAAGCTTTCTCACTTTCTCTCTTTCTCTCTCTCTCTCATCCCTGTCTCTAACCCCAGTGAACAAACATGTCCCATAGCTAATTCAAAAAAAAAATTAAAATTAAAATTAAAATGGGCCTCAGAGTTGATCCTTACCAAACCTTAACATAAAATTTTCTAGAGCTATTTTTCCTTTACCTTTTTTTTTTTTTTTTTTGCCATTTTCCTAATTATTTAAAATAATCAACTTTTTGGGACCAGCAGATGGTATTACATTGCTGGACCCCCACGTAGTCCACCACAGTTCAAGTCCCAGACCTGGCAGCTTAAAACGCACACTGGGTGTGTATGCATGCATTCCCAAAATCCCATCAGGAGAATGGAGAAGAAGGGATTGCGGCATGGCCAACTTCCCTGGGAGGGTAGATTTTTCACTTTCTGTCTCTCTTTGTCTCTCTGATGAGTGCACACGCCCTAGAGCAAAAAAATCTCTCTAAAATAATAATTAACTCTTTATTAGCTTTCAATCATAATTTCTCAAAAATAGCCCATGGAGAAGACTTAAGCTGTTTAAAGCATAAGTATCTTTCCCACGTTTTCTTCTTGTTACTTCCAACTCCTGTGAGTTGTGCAAAGGGAATTTTTACTCAAAACAAAGCAAAAACTTAAGAAAGACCAACATATACATACATGAATCTAACTGCCAGAGAGGGTTTTCCTAGAGAGCTGTTAGATGCTGTCTTAATTTCCACTTTTCCTTCTCTGGGAGTGAGACCAAGTAAGCGTTCTCTGTCCCTGAAGGAAAATGTGTATCTGTTATGCTTCCCACTCCACTGGGAGTCTTTTTTTTTTTTTTATTTAACTTTATTTATTTATTTTAACTTGACCAGAGAGGGACAGAGTGAGAGAGAGGGAGAAAGCAAGCCATCAGGTCTGGGGCTTGAACCCCTTAACCACCACGCCACCTGCCAGTCCCATCCAGTGGGAGTCTTTTCCCAGCCCACACCTAGGCTTCCTCAGGCCCAGACCTGGCCCTGCCCACTGACC